GCACAGTGTAAAGATTCTCTACAAATCTATGTCCCCAAACATATGTGTGTCATCACGATGGGGAAGGATGGACAGGTAGAAGAGGGCCAGGGAGCTCAAGATAACTCTGCTTTGGATGCTTAAAGCCAAGCAGATGAATCTGGGTCCTCATAAAGCCAGTTACTTCTGGCTTTAACCCTCATGTCTTGCTGTTCTATCTGTAAATGGGGATAGTCCTATTGCAGGGCAGGGGGTTGCTAAAGTTAGTGCTTGTGGGCCTCTGAGCAGTGATAAATGGGATAAAAATTGAGGAAGTGCAAACAGCAGCACTGCAGGCAGCAGGGCTTGAGAATTCATGCTGAGCAAAGGGGGAAAAAGAAAATAGTGAGGAGCTGTTTAAGCAGGTCCTGTCCTTTCTGCGTGCTGAGGCCAGGGTTACGTGGAGCAGTAATAGTCCATAACCTGTGTTTAACTGTAGCTGCACTGGAAACCTCTCTCTGCGGTGGGGATAGGTAAAAGTGGTGCATAGTGACCCTTAAAGCAGACTGCTGTGTGGGCAGGTTCTGTGAGCAGTAGTGCCCGAGCCACTTCTCTCTGCATTAAGAGCAGATAAGCCAGACCACCCGGGCCGGTTGTTCCCCCCTTCCTCACTTGGGGCTGTTCAGATTCCCCGAGTAGGCTGGGGAATAGAGCTCTGCTCCCATGGCAGACTGCTATCACCTCCTAACGCTGCATGAAGAGTCCATGTGAAGCCCTCAACTGGAAGCTCATACACAGACTAAGCATCTTGACACCTCTATGGAACTGAAGGGAAGTCAGAGATTTAAATAGCTAGGAAAGCTTGCAGTAAATGACTGTAAAATCAGTCTCCTGAATTTATATGTCACTTTTCTAGGAGTTCCCAGTGAGGATGGGCAAATGACATGCAGACTTTCTAGTCATTTGTAAGCTCTGATTTCCTGAGGAAAGCATGGATGGCCTTTCCAAGTGTAAGTGGTTTGAATGCAGTGTCTAGTAGCGACAAACCTTCCCTAAAGAGTTTGGAAGAGACTACACAGGATAAACTTCACATGAAAATAATATACTTACAGATGTCTCAAAACAGGTCTTAAAATTGTAACAGGGTGGTAATGCTCTTTGAGAATAACAACTCTGTAGCACAACTGACAGGAAGGTGGAATCCCTGTGTCCTATTCACTGCATTGGACAGTCACTGAAGTATATCCAGTATTTGGGGAAACATCTGAACAAATTCTGCCCTCTTAATTAGCATGACCCATAGACTGGTCTCCTCCAAGGACACTTGGATGATGCTGAATATGGGGCCAGCTTGTTCATGAACTGCTTGGACATGGAGTTAGGCATTTTGTCTTTGTCTTGCGCTGCCAGACATTCTCTGGTATTTTATTCAATTTGGTTCTTCAATGAAAAGAAATGTATTCAGTGGCAAAACTAGAGTCAATTGTAGATTATAAACCATAAGGAACATGGGAAACAATTTCATCCTGTTTCCTCTTGGCTGACATGTGCCATTCCAAAGAAAAATGAACGCTGCTAATCCTGCACCTTCACAAACGAGCCAGCCACCTGGAGCTAAGTTTTTTGCCTTTAAAATCTTTTTTTTTTTTTAGGAACAGTGGTTGTTGCCTACCTCTTATTATCCTTCTGGATTTTAAGCATTGCCTGAGACAAATTTTCTGGTCTTCCATATTCACAAAATGGTTGAAAACACCCAACAAAACCCCTGCCCTTGTGAAGCGCCCAGTCCCCAGGCTGGTGTTTCTGCCCCTCTGGGACCACGTGCTCAGTGGTGCCCCAGTCCTGGCTCGCTCTGAAGCAAGACACAGGTAACTTCCCTTCATCTAGGGTGGGAGGCAGCAGTCAAGGCTGCAGGTCAGAGTCCTTGAGGATGCAAGTTCAGGGCTTGCAATAAACTAGTTGCTGATTTTATTTTTCTCCAGGAATATATAAGCATAACACCTTTGCCTTCCTCACTGCCAAATTTGCTCAAAGATAGAAAAGTTATTCTGGGGAGAGGGGGGATGCAATAACTTAATCATGTGAGTTTTATTTTCTTAAGAAACTAGGTGAAAAGCAAAAGCTGAGATTCCCATAGCCTTTTCTGAACCTTTCTCTGGACAAAACATCCTACATATGAAGAGGTAGGATGAGAATTGCACGATTTGGCAACACAGATAATTTGTTCTCAGATTTGGCCTGTGTTTCAGGTTTTTGAAGAAATGCTTTTATCACAGTGCTCCCAGGAGAGTACTGTTAAACAAATGCTTTCTACTGATGTTTACAATCAGAAGGTGCAGCCAAAAAACCTGAAACAAGCTAAAAAACTTGGTCAGTTGATCTCCTTGCCAATGAGGAAACAGAAGAAAATAAACATCATTTGTTATGAAAATCTTTTATTTTAAAGGTGTTTCCCACTTGAGACTCCTAAAGATGATTAGCAGCAGTGCTGAGGATGCTTGAGTTATCTTTGATTTATGCTTTAGCCTGTCTGCATGCATTTAACTGTTGAGAAATGGCCAATTAAAAAGCCTTTTCATAGTTCATATTATGGCTTTGTTATGCATACAAATTACTTTGTATCCAGACATAAATGTATTTCATGTTGGGTAATAGTCACGGTTGTTTCCTAACAATTAATGACACTGTGGGGCCTTTACCTCCACTGTAGGTGGTTGGCTGGCTCTGTCTGTAATTAGCACTGAATCAGCAGAGCACTTAGGTTCTAATTTTGAGCATAAAAGCCCAGCCACAGACCTCAGTGGTCTGTCCATAAGTTTAACATTATGGATGAGTCTGAGTGGTTTGCTGGACCACGGCCTAGCCAGGAAATGTTCTCTGGTACAGGCACTCCTGAATAATGTATCATCTGGACATGAGGAGTGAATCGGTGCAGGTAGAGCCTCGAGCTGCAGTGATTCCCACAGCCGCCCCAGCGAAGGCGTTCGGCCTCTCCAGGATTAGGCTCCGGGCAGAGCATTTGCTGGGGGGCAGCCTGTCCAAGGCACAGACCCGAGAACTCCTCTTTAGGCTTGGAGCCTGTCCCAGAAAGCCTCACGAGGACAATGGGAATCATTAATCTTGGTGGACAGCAGTCTGGTAAAACCAAATCAGGCTCCTGGTTGCCTCTTACTGGTGTAGAGAAAGCTTTTTACAGGCTGTGAACTTGGTTCCCTTTGCACGCTGAAGGACAGAAAAGATTGTTACCTTGCAGTGAAGAGATGGCTGCTTTGCATTATTTGCATGTGCTTATTGTTTTTTGCTTGCTTTTATTCAGATCAATTCTTTTATTGATCCATCAGATCAAGCCAAGATAAAGTGAAGAAAACGAGACCTCATCAGTAATAAATTATAGGTCTTTTAAAGTGCATTTTAAGATCTGCATTTAATATAGCCCTCCTATTCTATGAAGTAATAGGGAACACACCTCTTTTCACATCACTGAAAGTGTGCCATCCTTGCCCTGTTTTGGGGGGCACTGTTCTCCCTCCAGCTCTGGTTCCCCCTTCCTTGCCCAGCACCGTGGGGGAGGCCCTGGCGAGTCAGGGCAGCTTCCCTTGCTGCTGGGGGGTTTCCAGGGCCAGCTGCAGTGCCTGCAGCCACAGGCACCAGCAGCAGCCACCAACCCATCAGACACTTCCCACCAGAACTCGTGCCTTTCCCCGCCAGCCTGTGGGAGGATCTTGCAGATGGGCAACGGATAATTCTCATCTAAATGGCTGCAGTGGTGGCAAAAAGGAATTCTGAGGCTAAGCACAACATCCTGGTTTATGATTCAACCATGGACTTCAAATGTATGTAAAAATAATAAAGTCCTCCCTTTGGCAGAGATTCCTCAACTGCTTTAGAAATGTCTTACTCTGCTTAATTATCTACTCATCTCGGATAAGACCTGTCTTATCACTTTGCCTTACATGGTATGGAAGGGGGAGAGATGCACCTCAGGAAAGAAATATTGTTGTCCTTCTAAGGACATGTGAGAAATGTAAGTGTGTTTAGTCTCATGCCTGAGCATTTTTTCAAAGTGATTTAGGCACTTGGCTAAGACTTTAAGTTGCCCAGAAAATCACTGCATATGTCTTGTACCCTAGCTTAAAGTAAGAGATGTCTTATCAGACCTGTTCTTGAATTGTTATTGAAGGTATGTGGCAGTTAGTTGAGTGTTATTCAGAAGAGTTTTGTCTGAGCTTTCTTCTCTGGGCTATTTACAGAGACTCTCCAGGCAGCAGTGACCGCAGTGGAAGTTCAGCTCACACGCACTGTGCCTTAAACTGATGGGGTGTATTTATCAGTAAGGATGTGTTTATCAACAGGTATCCAGCACTCAAACTCTAGTACAAAAAGGAGCTTTGCACCGATCTGAAAAGCAGGTAATTTGCTCAAAGCTTGGCCACCAAATCCCCAGCTATTCCCCCATGGCTGCATGCTTCTGTCACACTGAGCTATGGAGGGCACTGAGGGCAGAGATGCTATTTCAACAGGCCAGACAGCAGGATGACCATTAGTTATTGAAGAAGGCCAGATTTGAACTGCTCCTAAACATCACAGTTTTTCTTCACAGCTAAAGGTCTGTGCCTGGTCTCCTTGTCCTCTCTGGGAGCCTTTTATGAACCTCTCTTACTGACCAATGACTGAAGATCATTTTGTAGAGCCAGAAGTGGAATGCTGACAGCCCTGACTAGCAGGGGGTTTATTGGGCTAGCCATGTAACAATATTCTGGAAATACCTTTCAACAGGCAGAACGTTTTGCAGTCTAGATTGTATTGCTGACAGAATATCCATGGCTCTCAGTCCATGGGGAAATGCTTAGATTTTTCTTTTAAAGGTGTGTTGTTGGTTGCTCTCAAATGAAATGCAGATGCAAGACTATTTGAGCCATAAATCTGGCCTCAATCATTCCTAACATTTCAACATCATACTGTGCAAAACAGCCTCCACTTAAGTCATTTCCAAATGACTGAACTTCACATTTTTCTTCTGTTATTGTCATCAACCTCACCAGATGTCATAATCAAGGAGGAGACACTAATGAGAAGCTGCTGGTGAATTTGGCATTTCTCAGTCACTTCCATGTGAATACCTGGAGAAAACACTGCATTGACAACTGCCAGAGTGAACTGAAAGCTACATGAGAGTGGGGATGTTGGCTTCTCTGAATAATCAAGACTCCTGAATAATCAAGAATCAACAGTCCTATCAATAGATAGAAAGGTGACACACTGACTTATAAGCAAGGAGATTCTTTCTGGGCTTGTGATTCCACAGTTATCCAATACAGAGCTGGTGACAGTTGTCTTTTGCACCAGACTCATCATGCAGATCAGACGCTTATAACCCTTCACTACAGCCTCTTTTATTTCAAGATTATAGTACTCATGGGGCTCAGGTATACCTCTGGCTGAAATAATGAATGACTTGCTGCTCCATTATGCCTTTTTTTTTCTTTCAGATAACGTGCTGTTAGGACAGCAAATAACCACCATTTTGATCTCTTACTGAAAAGCGACATTCAGTTTTAGCATAAAGACACTGGTCACATCCTTCCATTGCTAAACACTTATATTTACACTTTTCCTAAAGGTTGAATTTGAGAAGAGCAGTGAAGAGATACACAGGAGTGTTTTATGCAACACTTCTCTTGATGTGCCCTTGTGCAAGCTCCTCTGGAAACACTGAGAGGGCTCTAGGTACCACAGCATAGACTGCACTGTGGCAGTCAGTGAAGGTCAGTCCAGCACCATGCTGCAGAGCCACATGCTCTTACGCTGTCCTCAGCCTCCCTTCAACGTGGTTCTCTGATGGCAAAATCTAGGGTCAAGGTTTGAACACTCCAATATTTTAGATGAAAATATAATTTTCAGCCTCTTGTGGCTGCCCTTGATGGTCATGTGGGTAAAGTTGTTCACAAACAGTTTGAATTAATAGTTAAGTTACTGTCCAGCCCCTTTGTGCAATGTTTTGCCAAGTTCGTATGGGAACTTGCCTCTCTTGTTGGGAAGACTTAGATTCTTGATGGAGTTTTTTTGAGCCGTTGACTAATGTGCATTTAGTCAAGGAATAGACTTTTTTGTCCTTGTTTAACTCTGAAAGAAAGGTAAAGTATTAAAATCAAGTGGGGTCATGTAGTTCAGCAGTCAGAAACACTGCTGTGTGCCCCGTATGACCAGTCACCAAACCCAAGCTGTAAACTACTTACACAGGGGAACTGATGTGCTAGAGGTGAAGTTTGGGAATCAGCTGTTGCCCTGGTGTCTTGGGAAATGTTATGTTGGACTCCATTACCTGAAAAAGGGTAACTCCCTCCCCCCCAGTCTGCCTAGGGAAAACCTGCAAACAGAGGGAAGCCGAGTGGGTGGAAAAATGTCTCCAAAATGTTCCCTGATTCTAATTACTTCAACACTGTGGTGTGGTTCCTTCAGTGCAGGAGATAGGACTGGACATGTGGGTTACCAGGCTGGACTTAATCCAGACCTCTCGGATGGCGTTTTTTTGTGATAGTTTGGCTAATTAAAAGAACCATGCTGGGGGAGGAAAAAAACACAAAACTTTGTCCTATTCTGCTTTACAATTTTTTCCAGTGTGTAAGTCCTTTAAGGGTTACCTTCTGGTACCTGACAAGTCCTGGACTGCTTTTTTACTGAGCTATGACTTTGTAACAAGTGTTGGAAATTTACAGTCTCAGTTAGTCACAGGCTCTATGAGTGTTTATTTTTTCTCAGATGTTCTTACTATTAAATGAATGTAGCTTGCTGAGTATCTCCCATTCTAGCCCTGCACTCTGGCAGCCTTGTTCCTTCCAAGAAATATCACATCAGCTACAGCACACTGGTAATATGAGTTAGGTCCTGCTGCCTATTACAGAATAATAATTTGCAGACTGAGGAGGAGCGACTAGGAACTGAAGTCACACAAGGTCATTTCTGGCAGCAGTGGAAATAAAGCCCATGTTTTAAAGACAACTTAGGAAAATTGCAGCCACTTATCCATATTGGTTTACAGAAAGAGTCTGCCTGCCTATTTGTTTGGATGTGGTGGCTGCAAAATGGGGGGTTCCTTCTCCATAAGTAACTCATTTGTTTCAGTGAGTTAAAATTCCCTGTTTGGCTGAAGGTCTGTGACTGCTGGCAGTGATTGTGATTAGTACCGTGCTTCAAACAGCACAGTGTTTCTTGCAGACACAGTGGGAGCTGCAGTGCATGAAGTTTTCTGGATCATCTTCAGGAGATTTTTAGAATCATTGCTTTTCCTTTGAGAGATCCTGCATGTGCTTTGTGGGAAAAGAATAAAAGCACGTTAATACAAGACACATGTGCAATGAAAGCCTAATACAGCAATTAGGTTCAATTACAAATACCTTCTGTTTATCAAGATTGTTTACCAACTGCTTACTGTAAAGTATTTATTTAGTAATTTCACCACTTCCCAAACAATAGTTGAGTGCCACATTATGCAAGGATTTCTTCTGAAAAGTTTAAGTAGGCTCTGCCCTTCCTCCTGCTCTGGCTGCAGATGCTGGGTGCGTGGTAGCTGTAGGTTGGGTCCTGCAATGACATTCCCAGCACACCAGTAAGTCCCAAAGGCTGCGTGGGGCAACACGTGGGGCAGGCAGCACCACCCATGGGTGCCTGACACTTTGCCCAGAAGAGCCTTTCAGGGACTGTTTTTCACCAGCCTTTTGCTGGTCCGACCTGAAGCTTTATGTGCTGGTGTCTGCTTTGTGTGTGTGTGTGTATATATAGTTAAATGTAGTAAAAACACTGTTTTTGACTTCTTAGCAGGGACAAGAATGCATGCAGTTCTGCCTGTGTCCATGGGTGGCAGGCAACTTGCTCATTTTTGTTGGTACTAGCTGGGAGTTATTTTAGTGTTTTAGTTATTTCTATGATATTCTCAGACAGGGCTAGATTTTGTCACTGGTGAGTCTGCTTCCTTTCTGTCAGTTTGCAAGGTTTTGAAAAGAGGAGCAGAACATGCCCCGGGTAGACTCTGGGCCCATTAAGTAGAGGTGTGACTGGGCTGTCTGAAAATGCCATGCAGGCTTCCTGCATTTGCTGACCCTTGGCTCAGCTATCTCCATATTTCATCTACCTCTGCACTAACGTCAGGCAGAAAAAGTGACCAGGACACTACTACTGTGTTGGCTCCACCGTGTTTCCTGGAGGATCCTTAGAGCTGCCTGCTGCTAGGAGAGCTGGGGCTTGGGGGCAGCCAGAGCCAAAGACATCTCCACAGGCTGTGTGAACACTTGGCCCTAAGTCTTACGAGCTACCAAGGCCCCCTTGGGAGGATTCTTTCAGGAATGCTCTTTCAACTTAAATCTCCTTTTAGGACTTTATTAGACTAGAAATCACGGGCTGGAGGAGGTTACATCACTTGGGTTAAAATGTTTACATCTATTCCTTCCAGATCACTCATGGTATGGCTCCAAGCTGTGCAGAGAGGATGCACTCGCCTTGGCTAGGAACTCAGTAGGGCTTCTCTTCACTCAGCACAACAGAAAAATGGGATGAGCCATTAGGGAGTTATGTGCTATTGTGCAGCCAATTGCTTGGCATTAGAGCAAAGCCAAGCAGCCCTGCCAGTTTTGATTCATTGGGTTCATCACACAGGGACTCTGCTCAAATGCCAACTCCAATCCAGTATCTCCATGTTGCAAAAAAGAGCAAAGGCAACGTAGTCAGCTTGGACTGTAAAGTTAGAATTGTTAGAGAACGGAGTTCATAACATCCTACAATGAGTGAAGCGAGACTGGAACTGAAATGAGGAGGAAATTGGGGATGGAGGATTTTCTGGCTTTTGAGGTTTTATGAACCTTGCAAACTGTTTTATGGGTTCACAAAGCTAGTTGAGTTGGTGAACAATTTTCTGGTAACTTAAGCCCTTTTGTTTCCAGAGCCTTTCAGGTTAAAAATAAAATATTGTGAAGCCATGAATTAAAACTGAAGCTGTTCTGTGAAGTCAGAAACATTCCATCAGACTCAGCTGAGCAGTAGAAAATGTGTGTGCTATCCTTATTCACTGATTGATGCATTTGCTATTCCCTGGCTTGCTTTCTAGCCTTGTGCTTATTTTCAGTGACTTTTACTTTTTACTATATTTTTTAAGCCCATTTTCCTAAGGAAATAAAGGCTATGAAAATAATATTTATATGTATGTGAGGCTTTTTTCTTTTTCACTCTGTATTTCTTTTTTTTATGATGGCAATTTTATCAAGATACAGCAGAAAAGCAAAGGCCTCAAGATAACTGTGCTCCACTATGTTTTCTGAGAATAAGTGCCGGCATAGACAGGCAAGACGTTGTTAATATTTACAGCAAGGGGAAAAACTTCAGAGCACTTTTTTTAGGGATGATAAAATATGTTCTGTTTCCTCGTATAGGAAGGTAGAGGGAGTAGGGAAACACCATGCTTCAATTTCAGGAAAAGCTTCAATCTATCTTAAGACTGAAATCTGTAGAAAACTCTTCTAGCTTACAAAACTCTCTGCGTTTGTTTGGCTTGATGTCTCTGTAGAGCAGAATTGTTTTGCAAATTGAAACACCCCAACTTATCGATAGGTCTGCAACCGTTTGGGATTTTTTCATTGTAGATGCTGATGCTAAGTAGGACCAGACCAAGCTTGTCACTTCATCTTTGCTTGTCTGGAAATATCACTGTGGTCTGATCATGCCCCTAGAACTGTCAGAATTGGCTCTGCATTGAAGGATGCTGGATCTGGAGCAACATTTTGAGTTCAGCTCACCACTGTCTGGACTGTAAAAAGAGCCAAGTGAAAGGAAGATGTGAATGTTTTGCTGTTAGCTCTTGATTTTGTTTCCATATCCAAATTTCCAAACAATACCCATGATTTAAATACTAAACTTAAGAAGAGGGGGAAAAGTATATTTAAAGAAGGTCCTGGTGGAAATACTGATCCCTCCCTTCCCCTAAGTGTATTCTGTGCAAGTAGTCAGATGTTTCAGGAGTATGTCTACCTATTCCTGTGGTTCCTAACAAATAGCTTTTTGATATGAAGTCCAGAGGGTTGTAGCAGTAGCTGCCTGACTTTGGGCATCCTGTACCGAAAACTGCCACTGATCCTTTCCTAACCCCCTGTCACTAATTGTGGTGGTCAGTGGCTCTGTCCCTGCTCCGATGTCCTTGGAGTCCTGTTAGTACCCTCCAGGTGCCCTATGTTAGTATGGTGGCCATGTGATTGTCATCTCCGTGTGCTCATATGGAGGCTGTATCGAGCACTGAAAACTACAGCAGAGAAGGCAGCCTGGCTCTCTTTGTGAACCTCCCTGCTCCACCTACAGTGGTGGCCTCTGCTGCACTT